CATTGTACAGTGGCATTAAGTGCCGTAATGTGCACCTCTGCCTACCCCTTCGGGGATAAAAAGGCGTGATGTTATGTTATGTTATTACGTTACATTACGTTTTGTTTTCAACAGCCTTTCGACTGATGATAATGATGGAAATGTAGGCCTAATTATGTTACTATTCATGCATTCGTTGTAAAAAACGTAACCTACCAGAAATCGCATTCGTTTTGTTATATATTATAATATTTCCCCTATTTGACTTACCATAGCGTAGTAGACAGTTCCGTAGGCAACAGGGACAGTAGCGGCTTCTTCGAAGGTCCACTCATCAGGAACAGGCCACAGTATGTCTTTCTGTCCCTCAGCCAAGTTAGTAATACCACGGTTGCAAACCATACCCATAACACGGGTACCGCTACAAAAAATTTCATTTATCAACACTATTAATAACGTTTTGGTCATCTGATTCACAATCATAATCATCAAATATTATTAGTAGGTACTGATAAAATTAAGGAACTCACTTGGCGGTTTTTCCGACAATTTCTATACCCTGCACACACTCTTGCGCAAGACGACCACGATCGACAGCATCCACTGTGACACGACCAATGGCTGTCATGACATCACGGAAGTTTAACGCTGCACAATATACCTGACGAAAATTAAGATTAGCAAAGTAAATACGGTTAGTTATTGTCTCATCGTCTTAGTTGTGTACACGCTTACTTTGACTCTCTACAACTACAATTAGACATGTATAATTTAAAAAAAGATGACCAACTAGGAAGGGCGTTCTTAGTTTGACTGTATGTATGTATGTATGTATGTTTGTGTGTGTGCGATTTTCTCGCGATTGACTGAACTGGTTTTGATGCAATTTTTGTAAAAGTATTTGTTTCACATAGGAGAAGGTTTTAGTACATTAAATTAATTAACCGACTTCCAAAAAAAAGGAGGTTGAAGTCGGTTTTTAAACGTGGTTTAAAAAATATTTTTTTTCTAAAATATTTGCTTACATGGACTAGTAGCGTTTCCTTATCCTGGAACACATGGTTGGCGTCGATGTTACCTTCTATCCATTTCAGTGAAGAAAGATCTCCGATGGTAAGGATATTGATATAGGCATGGTTGGCACGAACTGTCTCCAAATCGTCCAAGAGAAGATGACGGTAGGTACCCCATTGGCCCTAAATGAAACAAAATGCTTATATTAGACTATAAATGGCCTACCTATGTATGTAAACAGAGAAATATCATTGAATATACTTACATCCTTAAACACATTTAGAGCCAAAACTTTAGTTAGCTGGTCTTCATAGAATTTCAAATCAGGGTTAAATGGAGGAGCTGATGGGTCAGCAATAAGAAGACCATACACAATCTCACCGCCAGGCTCCTTCCTCAAACAGTTCACTAATCCTAAGAGACCGTTGATATGTTCATCTTGTGTGTATAGGACCACTTTCTGGCCTTCTTTGATTTCCTCCTTGACTTTGTCGATCCATGGGAAAGTATCATCAGAAGCTAAGATCCTGACGAACTTGGCTGGTCTGGCTCCCACGCGTTTTCTCACCAATACAATGTATTCGAAGCCTGTGTCTTGAATGGTAACAATGTCGTATTTGTCAGAGTAATCCTTAGGGTTGGGGCGTTCCTTTTCGCGACTAATGACGAAGGCCTTTTCACGGAGGGTGCTGATTGCTTGTTGTAAAAGCTTTCAACAGATAATTGAATAGGGTTAAATTATTTATTTTCAAAAATTAAAACGTTATAGCCTAGGCATTAAATAAATGTGTACATAAATAACTTAATTGATTTATTGTCTAATTAAAACATTGACATAATAATGATATTTGCTTACCTCAGGCCTACCAAGGAGATTAGCTCCAATAAACAGTATAGTGTTACTCTGTCCGCTCAGTTTCTTTTTCTCGACGGTGATGTTGGAAGGCACATCAACGGGCTCTTCGGAAATAAGTAACAGCTCAGCCTGGACTAAGGGCAAATCTCCAAGTATATCACCGATATTTTCTAACAAGGGCTTCAGATTGTTCTTTATGTATTCTTCGTCATATAACTCAATACTTTTGACTTTATAGCTGTGAATGTTCTCGAGAACCAGCTGAATGTTTGCACGAAGGATATCCTTAATCTACGTATAAATAAAGAAGGCGATTTACTTTTATACAAACATAATTTTAAACTATTTTATTTTTCACTTTACCTATAATTTACCTCACCTTCATCTTGTATTGTCCAAAGTTAGGGATGAATTCGTTCTTCTCAAGAATAGGTATACCAAGAGGCTGCCTTTTAGTAATAGGAGTAGCGTGATGGCCTCGAATTTCGATACCACCAGCCCTAGCGGAATAATCGGTAGAGGAATAGATGAGAAAAAATTATATGTATGTATATGCTGTCCGTATTTACTCTCATAATAATAAGTTAACAAATATCTCACCTTATAACACTGACATCGGGATAGACGCGAACCTCAAAAGATTTATTGTCACTATCAAGATTCATTTTGGCGATGGCATCACAGTGCATCGTAGCATCGATGGAGAGTCTCTCAATCCTAGTGGGTACATAAAGACTCCTGGAATCTTGGCCAAAGAGCATCATCTGCAGCATGCAGTCCATGAAGGTGACCCAGTTGTTGACCCAAGAGAGACGACCACGTGTGGCTTCGACGTTGCATCCGATAACTCCACGGAATAGACCACTGATGGAAAAAACATAAATAAATACAGTTTTTGGAATTAGAGTTCTAAACAGTAAATTTCATAAAAATAATCATAAACCGATCGAAGTGGTTTCTTGTCTTTAATTTCATCTACCTAAATTATTATATCCTTTACCTATATTGATATCCTCTGAGACGCAGTTCTTTGTAGAAGTCCTTGGTCAACAAGTGCTTGATGCAAGGACCACTGGCTTCTGGCAAGTGTGGGAGTACCCTTAAGTCTTGGCCGACGTTTTTCTTGGCAAAAACCCCACCAGTCACGATAGAAACACCACTTTCCGAAATCTAGGGAAATTGGGTTGAAATTAGTTTTTGATCAAATAATGATAGCAATCAGTACGAACAACTTACCTCGAAGTTACCACTCTCCTTTTGGATCGTGATGATAAACTCCAGGTTTCCCTCCTTAGGAATGTTAGTGGCTCTCTGGAAGCGTACATTTTTGAAGACCACTGACACGTTGGTATAAACCTCTCCTATCATCATAGCAAGGGTTTCCCAGACTAGCACCAAGTAACCGGTGGCAGGGTATAAGTTACGACCTGTTGAGGTGAGATTAGGTTTTCTGTATTATGTATAATTGTAAATATTTATGATCTATGCACACGCATTCACCCTGTAAACCTCTAGTCAGCGAGGTACAGCATTCACATGCCTGAATTAATTACTTCTAATATGTTAAAACTCTATGGGAAAAGAAATCAGAATGTTGTAAGTATAATTTTTGTTTGTAATAGGTCTATATCTATAAAATTGCCGTTTTGTATTAGTGAAACAAGTAAATTTAATTCTGCAAATAGGCTACAAGGCATCAGTTTCACACGTCAATTTTTCAAGCGTAAACAATGAGGTCGAATTCATCGAAGTAATCACCCATGGTTCTTGAAGAAATCAGTTGAACGGGAGACAAATAAATCCTTTAAAGGCATTTGGTACTGCCTTTCGGGTATTGTAATTAAAATACTTAGTCGAAAAAATATTTGTATTTGAAATGGCCAGTACTGCAAAACGGCAATTTTATAGGTACAGACCTAATATTTATGTTTTGAACATTCCTGACTAACTTATCAATTACATTACACTATTTCACTTAGACTTACCATCAATGACGTGACCAGTCATATAGTCGTATTCTTCATCGTCAATAGATATTTTGACTGTTCTCTCACCAATCTTCATTTTCTCTAGCTCATTAAAGGTCATTACGTACCTGAAATAATAATTAATTAAGTTTTTATAAAAGTAATAATTATATCTCGCTGGTCTACTAAGGGAGATTCGAACTTATGATAGTTTTTTCATAAGATTCATAATGTCTTACCAGTTCTCACTGTGCTCCCACTCAACGAGGTGAGCAAGCATAGGCGTACCTTGTGACACAGGAAATGGTACGTGTGGGTAGATGTTGGCCAGATGTGGATTCAGACCTAAGTCGTATAATCTGTAGAAATAAATTTCAAGAGATTTTCTTAATATTCAAATATATGCATGTGTTGACTGTTAGGGTCTCAAAACTTACTTTCCAATAGCAGTGAACAGACATTGGACATTGTCCGGGTGGTCTTTCTGTGTCAAAGCGACGTTGATGACGTCCTTCTTCAGAGACCTGAGCAGGATAGCTTGCAGCAGACCGTGGGGGGCGATCTCGATGGTGATTGCATTAGCGTGGATCAGACGAGCTGCTTTCTCGAACAACGCGGGACTCTATACAGATGTGATTTAAACGCATTTTCGTAACGTAATACATCGACACACTTTAAAGAAAGTACACGTATGGTTTGCTAATATAGTTTTCCAACAAAACTTTTATATGTATGAATGTTGATGAAGAAGAAACACATAACATCACGCCTTTTATCGCCGAAGATATAGGCAGAAGTGCACATTACGGCATTTAATGCCACTGTACAATGTAACACCCACTTTTCACTATTTATGTTATGAGTTCTATGTAATAGGGGGTGAGCCTATACCCATACACCAGGCACATTTCAGGACTCCGTGCTATTAATGAGATTTTTTTTAAAACCCCGTAATATTTTGCCAGACCCGAGACCCTATGTGTGAGCTGTTATACTTGCTTCCGATAATAGGTATGGCAAAAACGCCTAAACGCACGGAAATTCGTTCTAGATTCCACAAGGTCCGTATAATAAACTACACCTGATGAAACAATTAAATTATTTAACATAGTGTTACGTTCATATTGCCAGAGATCACACTCCCAGAGTATGTGATGGGCCGACTGCTCGTATCGCAACTCCTCTGTCGAACATTGGCACCATGGTGAATCAATAGGTTTAAATGAGAACAATTTGCTTTTAAAGTTGCCGTGGCCAGTAAGAAATTGGGCAACACAGTGATCCACCACCAACCATGTCTTCTCCAGCCGCTTATGCACGGATGGGAAGAACTGATATAGGTGGCGGCCCTTAATAGAAGATGCCCATCTACACTGCCATTCGGTTATAAGCTCGCCCCAAACGTCCGTCATTGGCTTAAACAATCTATCAATTTTATTTCTATCACGTTGTGCTAGAAAGCTTGCTGACAAATTAGATTATTACATAGCAGTACGTCGCTGCACCTCAAGATCTACCGGAAGGACGCCTGCGAGCACAGGTAGGGCCTCAGTGCTAATCGTCCTATAGGCCTTACACAGGAAAATCAAGGCTAGACGCTGGCCTTGGAGAAGTTTTCGCCGTACCGCGCCTATTGTGGCCCTATCAGCCCAGACAGGTGCCCCGTAGCACCCGCATCCGAGGTAGGTTGCTCCGTATATGATCCTAAGCGTAAGAAAAGAGAGACCCCAGGTGGCTTTTGAAATTCGCGTCAGCGCATAGAAGTTATTTTTGGCGGCTTTCTGACTAATAGCCTTAATATGTTCAATGAAAAAAAAGTTTTTTTCCAATACTAGACCGAGGTAGTATTGGAAAAAAACAGGCCTGGGTGTTACCACCGGTGAGGCCTGCCGACATAAACGATGAGGCTAAGTGGCTCCAGGACGCCATGTCCAGGATTTGTGTCGTGGCGATGCCCCGGATCCGGTCGAGTCAACAAAAGCGCCAGGTGTACTGGTGGTCGCATGAGCTGGCGGCTCTGCGCAAGGCGTGCACTACTGCGCGACGCCAGTACACTAGGCACCGCAGGCGCCGTATCCGTCCTCTGAATCCGGATGCGAGAGAGGCGGAGTTGTATAAGAGATAAAGGGCGGCGAAAGCCGTCCTCAAGGCGGGCCAAGGAGGAGGCCCGCCGAGAGATGCTGGGGACTCTGGACAGAGATCCGTGGGGACGCCCGTACCGGATGGTACGCGACAAGCTCCGCACTTGGGCTCCTCCGCTCACCCAGAGTCTCCGGCCAGAAGTCTTGGAGGAGGTGATTGGCGCCCTGTTCCCCCGACTGTGGAGGGGCTTCACCCCTCCGTATATGACTCCGCCCCCTGCGGTGCCCGACGCGGGCTATAGCGACGACGACGACGACATCGTCCCAGAGGTGACCGAGGCAGAACTGAGAGCGGCGGTGCGCCGGATGGGCGCCAAGAACACCGCCCCAGGACCCGACGGCTTGCATGGCAAAGCATGGGTCCTGGCCTCAGAGGCTCTCGGGCCTCGATTAATCGGTCTCTACAGCGCATGCTTGGAGAGAGGTCACTTCCCGCTGCTCTGGAAAGCGGGAAAACTGGTCCTCATGCGGAAGACGGGGCGCCCTGCGGACTCTCCGTCCGCATACCGACCCATAGTGCTGCTCGACGAGGTGGGGAAAGTGTTCGAAAGAATAATTTCGAACCGCCTCGTCGCGCATCTGACGCACATTGGGCCGGACCTATCGGACGGCCAGTTCGGCTTCCGTAGAGGGCGCTCTACGGTGGACGCCATCATGCGTGTTAGGGACCGGACGACGGGGACTGCAGTGTCCAGGGGTAAGGTCGTAGTGGCGGTGTCTCTGGACATCGCCAACGCCTTTAACTCCCTGCCCTGGAGCTGCATCTTGGAGGCACTCCGATATCATCGGGTGCCTACCTACCTCCGTCGTGTAATCGAGGCATACCTGACGAGCAGGTCCGTCATCTACCCCGGTCACCGGGGCGAGTGGAATCGGCGAGAGATGTAATGCGGTGTTCCACAGGGTTCGGTTCTGGGGCCGCTCCTGTGGAACATCGGTTATGACTGGGTGCTGCGCACCGACCTCCTGAACGGCGTTAGCACAATATGCTACGCCGACGATACGCTGGTGCTAGCGCACGGGAGGTCGCACCAGGCGGCGGCCGATCTAATGGCGACAGCGGTTGCGACAGTCGTTGAGAGAATCCGGCAATTGGGACTCGAGGTGACGCTCCACAAGTCCGAGGCCATGTGTTTTCATGGCCGCGGGAACGCGCCACCTCCGGGTGGGTCCCAAATAACGGCGGTAGGAGTTACCATCGGCGTCGAGACGACGATGAAGTACCTAGGACTCGTCCTCGACAGTCGGTGGAACTTCATAGAGCATTTCTGTGTAGTGTGTGTGACACCTCGCCCTATAAGTAAGCAGCGTAAGATAGATATTAGGCACTCAATTAAAGTTATTTCTAAGAACAACACGTCTCCCTCATTGCTCCACATTGCATGGCGACCCTGCCAGTGCTGCCACGCGGGCAGCGCTGCGCACGAGTACAATGTTGGATATTTGCAATTTGGTCTGTGTTTGTTGAAAATAATAAAGACTTAAACGTTGAAAATTAAAAGTGGACTAAAAGTGCGTATCAGTGTTCGTAAAGTGGAGAGATATTGCTGGCTGCCGGGTGTCGATGCAGCCAGATGTGGACCTGCCGGGAGCGGTTGGTGTCCTAGAGGATGGAGCCGGGAGATGTTGGCGACCAGGTAGCGTCTGAGAGAATCTCCGCTACCCTGGGTACGCGATGTAACCGGACTCGAAAGAACTTGAGTGTTTAAATGTTAAGTGTATTAGTGTAGTTAAAAAGTGAAAATGGACACCAATATATAGAACTGTAGTAGTAAGTTAAACATAATTGTAATAGGCCCCACGTATGTTATATGTTAATTTAAGTTATATCACTTAATTTTAATCATTTTAGTTATAAAATATTATTTTACACTAGATATAATTCACGCCTGTTGCCAATCATAACTAGTACTTTTTTATGTTGAATAATTTTTATACCTGATATTATTTTGAACGAAATAATAATCTTGCCATTTTTGTTGTAAATTAGAGAATTTTAAATTTCATACTTCGCTAACATTAATCAGATTAAAGGAATGTTCCCATGCCCATATAGGTAAATGATGTCATACCGAGTGTCAGATTGTATTGAAAGAATCGTGTTACTTGACACCGATTAACAATAACAACTGCACTTTGGTTCTGTCTTATGAAATAAATAAATTGGATGAATGAAACTTGATATTAGTTCGGCTTTGGGATGTGTTCATTGTTTGTATAAGTATGTAAGTTTGGTTTTTAGGTAGTTTGGAATAACTTGGTACACAAGTTTTTGCGTATGACTGAGGGCTGATCACCTAAAGACAACGTAATATTTTGTAGACCAAGCAATTAAATTAGATTGTGTTTATGTTAGGTTTGATAGTTGAAGGATAAGTTAATAATAAATATAATAGGTACACATGGTAAGGTACAGTTTAGTGTTCATGTCCTTAGTTTGATCATGGTGTAGACGAGCTCTCTCTGTGAAAATTATTGGAGGTCAAAAGAACCATAAATATTGACACTGTACGCGCCTACTTCAATACGCATAGCAATTCGTCGTTAGATGATTTACGTCTAGTTAAATTATTTTTATATGACATTTATTTTTACAATCTTCAACAGCGGGTAGATTGTTGCACCAGTCTATTCTACTACCGATTTCGAACAGTCACCATCTCTGCTTTTCTATGTCTCCAAAAATTATTGTAATACACATAATTCTAAAGTTCTTTTGAGTTTCACTAAAGAAATTCCATTCTTGTGCGTAAACAAGAAATTTGGCGACCGTGACAGGACATTTTCTACAAAATTACAAAATCGGTGACGAGCAACTCAATACTCGGCTACTGCAGATTTCCAAAGGAAACTAAATTTGAAGGCGATTACCACTCAAGCAACCAGCCTTGACTTCCTGGCTTGCGAACCAGCTAAAGGTAGTACCGGAAAGTCGTCGAGGTGCATCATCATCAATGAGATAAGTGCCATTCCTTTGTTCCAATCTAACCTCATCTTACTACAACCTAGTACCTAATTCCTTTCTAAAATACACTTACTCCACTATTAAGCCTTTATTTGTGCATTTCTTTCTGATTTATACGTCTTTATAGTGCAAATAAGTGTATAAGTAAAATAACTTACATATACCGTCAACTATAATGTCCAAAGATTTTCTTTTCTAAATTCAAGTTCTGATTTGCCACTTAATTGCTATATCATTAATATTAATTTAATATTATTCCTTTGCCATAAACCCTACATCGATTTAATCGATATTTTCAAATTTTTAAGTCGATTTGCCGAAATTTCCAGGCGTTATCCTGAGAACTCAGTTACTCGACCAGGCTGCTGCCAAATACGTCACTGCTCGTTTTGCTGACTAAGGTTTTGCAGCCAGCCGAGACCAGCTTCCCAAGGGACCTCACCGAGAGGAGGAGCGTGAGAATTCATTTTATTTCTTCTACTGTTTAGTCATACATAACCAGTCGATATTTCATTT